TCCCCCGGGCGCCTGGGGCGTCCCCGCCGAGGTGCGCGCACGGCCACCCGCGGCCCCTCCGCCCCAGCGCCCCTCTGCCCCCTGCGCGGCCCGGCCCGGGCAATGGGCAGGCGGGGCACCTGAGGCCACCGGGGGCCCCCCTCCAGAACGAGGCTCAGTCTGGGGCTCCGACACTGCTCACCCCGGGGGCCGGGAGATGCTTCTCTTCCAAAAGCAAAGAAAACAGCCCAACAAAAAAGGAACACTCCTGCGTCCACATTTCCCAATTTTAAAGTTTGTCTTCAACCAACCTGGCTTCATCCTCTGGCACCTGCCCCCCACCCACCACCACCACCTCAGGGCTGTCACCAGACACCCTGACAACAGACCAAACCTGGGACCACCCTGGCCAGGACACTGCCCAGCCCCCCCAGCACTTGGGCTCTCCCTCAGGGGGCCCCCACTCCCTAGGCAGACTGTGAAGGGGCGTCTCTCCATGTCACTCTGCAACGCGGCCCCACTGCAGGTTGCTGCCTGGTGGTGGGTGGGGCCCAGACCCACTGTGCCCCACAGTGCCCCAGGTCTCCGTGTCTGGTCTCCCCACCCTGGACTGGGAGCTGTCCCGCTGGGTGCTGGCCTTGCACCCCCGCCCCACCCCCCTGGATGGCTTGGAGGAGCTTGCTGCTTGCAAAGGCACTCTGGGAGCCCCCTTCAGAGGGCCCTCTGAGCTTCTACACGTCCCCTCCTCCCGCTGTGGCTCCAGGCCAGAAGCTCCCCGACCCTCCTGAGCCCAGGTGGTTTGGGAGATGTGGCAGGTCTACACCCTGGACGTCAGCCCCCATCTCTAAGATGGCCTCCAACACCCCTGCCTTCAGGAGCACCCAGCAGATAAGGGGACAGCAGCAGAGCTGGGGGCAGCACCCTAGAGAAGCAGTGCACCTGTTCTTCCTCAAGGGGCTTACGTTCCAGGCGGGATAAGAGTGAAGAGATAAACAGTGTCCTATTGGCTGGAAATCCGCACTGGCAGGACGAACTGGCGTTCATGGGGCATGTGTGTGGTCTTCATCCTGTCCAGGCCCTTGGGGTGGCTGGGTCCTTGTCACTCACAGAGGGAGCTGAAGCTCAGAGCCGAGAAGTCTCGCCAACCAAGACTGACCCACGTCAGCTGAGCCCGGAATGGGAGCCATGGGGGCAGGCAGAGCCCTGGGGTGGAGTCCCAGCTCAGCAGCTCCATGCTGAGTGCAGAAGGCCAGGTCCACGCCCTCTGGGCGCCCCCTTCCCACTGTCCCCGGGGATCTGAGAGGACAGGTCCCTGGTGGGCCACAAGCCTGACCCTGATGCCCCCGGGAAGTCTCCTTGGAGCCTGATGCAGAGCAGGGTCACACCAGGCCCAGGAGGCAGCTCTGTGTCTCCCCCATCCCATCCCTCCACCCCCCAGCCCATGTCATGTGTGGGCCACCAGCCGCCTTCCACAGAACAGTTGCCCAGCCAAAGAGCCCCATTCATGCTCCCCATACATCCCAGGCCCCCAGGGGCTGGCCTGGGGACAGCCGGTGTGGAGCCGGATGGCGGATGGGGCCTGTGGCCACCGACGCATCCGCCACGCCAGGAGCCTGGCACATGGTCATCCCTGCAGGGAGGGGCAGTGTCCTGCCACATTCCAGAGTGCTGGCCGCAACCCAGGCTGCTGTCCCGCCTGGCAGCTGCACCTGCTCCCGCACTGGCCCCAGAAAATGCGGGCCGCGGCTGGGACAGACAAATCCCCTCCCCCTCCGCATGGCGCCAGGCGGCTGGAAGGCAGGAGGGCTTCCGGTCTGGCTCCCACTCCCAGACCCGGGGTGGGTTCCTGGCCTCTCTGCTCCTCAGTTCCTGCTGTGTCCCCAGAAAATTCATGTGTTGAAGCCCAACCCCCAAAGGGACGGCGTTAGGAGGCGACCTGGTCATGACGGTGGGCCCGTGGTGGGATTGGTATCCTTCTAGGAAGAGACACAAAGGGATGATCCCTCTCTGCCACAGCAGAAAGGTGGCTGTCTGCACACTTGGAAGGTGCCCAGCTCACCAGAACCCAGCCGTGTGGGCACCCTGACCTCTGACTTCCAACCTCCAGAACCGTGAGAAACGAGCATCCGCTGTTTCAGCCACCCCGTCCGTGGCATGTTTGTTATAGCAGCCCCAGCAGACGAGTTTCCTCAGCTGTTGCAGCCAGAGTTGCTGGCTACGAATGGCAGAAACTGGCCCCTGAAGCAGGAAGGAATTTGCTAGAAGAATGTCAGGCCTCTGCTAGAACACAAGGGAGGCTGGAGAAGCTGTGGGAGCTTCAGGAGGCAGGGAGCACAGCTGCGTTCCTGAGACAGGACGGCACCCATCCTGCACCACGGCCCTGGGCACGGCTGTCACCTTCCAGGAAGTCGTGGGTCACAGCTGTACCACTGACTGACGACACAGCCACGGGTGCCACCTCATGGCCAGGGACACTGCCACCACGACCAGACTGTGGCCACAGGGCACTGTTTCTCATCAATGGCTCTGCAGCCACGGGACCTGCTGCCAGGCACAGCACCTGCCACTCCCCACCCAAGTGACCTTCAACCATCACACCACCTTTCTGGCCGCAGTGCTCCCTTCTACCCCAATACTATTATGATGGACCCCTAAATGAGACTGTGTGAGTGAGGGCCTTTCAAAATGACCACGGGTTTTATAAACCCAAGGGGATGATCAGGACCAGGGACCGGCTGCCTCGTCTCATATCTCCAGGTACTCAGTGTGGCTGGAGAAAAACACACACTGCCTGACTGTGGCAAGCCTCGTCCCCCCGACCCGTTGGTGCATTTACACTCCCAGCTCTCCCAGTTAGGGTGTGGCTAGTGAAGGAGCTCCGGCCAGTGGAGCATGGTGGAAGTGATGACCACCTGTTCCAGGCCCAGCCCAGCCGCAGGACGCCCTGTGCCGTCTTCTACATGCTTCCCCATCGCGTGGTGAGATGGAGCGTTATGGACTGAGCTGTGCCCCCAAAATTCACATGTGAAGCCCCAACCCCCAGTGTGAATGCACATGGCGCTAGGGTCCTTAAGGAGGTAATGAGGGTGAAATGAGGTCATAAGGGTGGGGCCTTGATGCAATACAACTGTGGCCTCCAAGCGGAGGGAGAAACACCAGAGATGTCTCCACACATGCAGAGAAAGGCCCGGTGGAGACACAGCAGGAAGGGGCCGTGTGCAAGCCAGGAAGAGGGGTCTCACCAGGACCCTTGCTGGATCTTAATCTTGGACTTCAGCCTCCAGGACTACGAGGAAATACATGTCTGTTGTTTGAGCCCCCAGTCTGTGGCATTCTGTGATGGCAGCCAAGCAGACTAGTACAGAGAGTGTCGCAGATTGTCTGAAAAAACGGCTGTAAATATTCCCTTCCCTGCACCACACCCCTTGAAATGTGACCAGGCACCTCCTCCCACTAAGACGTAGAGTCTCTCTCTACCCCTGGAATACGCCTTGCTTTGACAAACGAAACGCACGGAAATGCTCACGGGCACTTTCTTTGGAGCCTCAGCCTCCATCACGTGAACAAGCCCAGGCGAGGCTGCTGGATGACAAAAGACATGAGGTCTGGTCACCCCATGGGCCCAGCCAAGAGCCGGTCAGCTGCCAGGAGCCGAAAGGCCTGAGACTCCCTGATGCCTCCAGATATGTGAAGGCTCGGCCCAGCCCCGAAGAACCACCGGGCCGAGCCCATCGAGGTCACTTGTGACACAGAAAGCGTTCCAATGTGGAGAGTGTCTGGTGGCGGTCTCCAAGCCATGGGATGTTAGAACCTCCAGACGGAAGGAGCAGGATCCCTGAGTTGCCCCAGGGAATGGCACCGCAAACGTCAGGCTGAGCAGGAAGTCCCGCGGGCACAAGCAGGACAGAAGAGAGGGAGGGCACCATGCCTGTCATGGTGGCACCGCGGCCCATCGAAGACAAAGGTCCCAAAAGCCACCTGAGGAAAAAAGTTATTCACAAAAGAACACCAACTGCCTGGAAGCTGATTTCTCAAAAGCAGCGATGGGAGCCAGAAGCCAGCGGAACGCCTTCCAAGTGCTGACAGAAAAGGACCGCGTCCGAGCTTAAGTGATAGGAGAACCCCAGGAACGACTTTCCGGCAAAAAATGTGAAAATGTAGACAGGTAAGTTCATAAAGGCGTAACTTCCTGTAAGTGGCTCGAGAAGAAATAGAATTCTCGACGAGTGCCACGGCTGTTAAGACGTTGAGTGATATGATCCTGCAAAGAGAACACTGGGCCCAGGGCATTTATAGGGAATTTGACCAAACTTTCAAAGAACAGATCGTTCCAGCTGCATCCAGGGTCTTCCAGTGAAAATAAGGGACACTCTCGAACCCATTCTCCCAGGATGGTAGAGCCTGATGACAGTCGTTCCAGGAGTATAAGAAAGGAAAATTACAGGCCAATCTCACTTAGAAACATAAACATAAAATCCTAAACATAAGAGAAGTGAATCTATAAAAGCTCATTAAGTAATACAGCAGGGGTCAGCTAGGGGCCCGGCAGACTGACACGATGTGAGGACGATGCGAGGAGGGTTTGCTTACAAAGGTGTGGTCGTGGAGGGGCCACTCGGCAGCCCTGGGCTAGTCAGAGGGGAGGCGTGGGTACCACCTCCAGAGCTGGGGGAGTGGCTGTCCAACCCCGAAGGAGAGAGTCACATCCTGGGAGGAGCAGTGACCTTCCGCTAAGGGATCTGAGTGTGTTCGTTTGCTAGGGGCGCAAAGCACCACAGACTTAAACAACAGAAATTTCTATCTCCCAGTCTGGAGGCCAGAAGTCCGAGATGAAGATGGCGCAGTGCTGGCTCCTTGTGAGGCTGTGAGGGAGCGTCTGCTCCAGGCCTCGTCCTGGGCTTGCAGACGGTCATCCTCCCCTGTGGCACTTCACATCATCTTCCTTTCCTGTGGGCCTCTGGCCAAATGTCCCCTTTTTACAAGGATACAGTCATGTTGGATCAGGGCCCACCCTAGAGATCTCATCTTAACTTGATCCCCTCTGTAAAGACCCTGTCTCCAAATAAGGTCACATTCTGAGGTCCTAGGGGTTAAGACTCCAACATAGGAATTTTAGGAGGACACAGTTCAACCTATAACACTGAGGTGACCCCAAGAGAACCCCAAAAGGAGGGAGCCAGGGAAATCAATATCCCAATCTCACTCTCCTCCCTCCTCTGACCTCCTGCTGGTGACCTCCCCAGTGGCCCACAAAGACCCAAAGGGCACAGAACCCCACCTGTGCAGTCCATCGTGACCAGCCTCCTGGGGCAGAGCCCAAGGTGGAGAAGGCAGGGGTTAAATCGGGAGGGTAAATGGAAGACACCAGCTCACACTGACTCAGCAGGGTTCACTCCAGGAATGCAAGGTTGGCTTGAGGTTAGACAGTCTGTCAATGTCACTCACCTCTCTGGCAGCCACAGTCAACACTCAGAGGGCAGAAGGGTCAGGGGGAACTCACATCGGGCGAGGCTGTGGTGGAACTGAAGCGATACAGTTCTCGGAGGCTCAGAAGAGGCTGTCAGAGGCCCCACCTTCATGAGGAGCTGCTCCCCTCGCCGTGCTCCCAGGCAATGGCAGCAGCCTCTGTCCCCCAGTTACTGCCCTGGCCTATGATCGACACAGTGGGGGCTTCAGCAGCAAGCTCCAGCCAGCTGAGGGCTCTGAGTCCCACCTACAGCATTTGCACCCCTGCTGGTTGCCCCCCGAGTCCCTCTGTCCCTTCGCTCTGCTGTCAGAAGCCTGGCTTTGTGTGGGACAGTGCGCACCCCTCATGATGGTCTGACGGAGTCGTGACGATCCTGCTCCCTGCCCTCCCGGCCTCCTCTGCAGCTGGGTGTGGCCCAAGCTCTGAAGGACGAGTGAAGGGAGAAGCAGAGAGAACATTCTCGGTGGGGGTGGGACCAGCATGAGCAAGGGCCGCTGGTCAGTTTCGGGAAGAGAGGGGAGGCTGGCGGGGCCAGAGCACAGACTAGGGGGTGGGGTGGGGCAGAAGAGGGGCTGGAGGGAGGGCATCAGACCACTGAGATTAGGGGAGGCTCCAAGACAGGTGTGGGAGGCAGTGATATGGAGAAAGCCTTGGCCTGTCACCTGGAGACAGGCGGTAAGACCTGGTCCAGGGTGCGGGCCATGGAGATGACAGGAGAGAAGGCGGCTCTGGGTGTCAAGGAGCAAGAATGGCGGGTGGGGCCTGTGCAGAGAAGGACCCCTGCCCTTCTGGGCTGCTCTGGGTGGAGGGCCTCATTCCCAGGGTCGGGTGAGGGAGCCTGGGTTTGGTTTTAAGTTTTAATACCCTGCACATTACTTGGCTTGGGCCCTGCCCTTGGGGCCTGGACTCGGTTTCCAAGGCCTGCCCTGGGACAACCCGGGGCACCCAGACCTGAGCCCCACTTGCCCAGGGGCAGGCCTGGGGGACTGAGAGGGGTGCAGGCTCTGGAGAGGGCCTGGACTGGACCCCCTGTCGCAACTCCCTGGGCCACAGGGCCAGACCCTCCCCATGGGGTCGCAGGCTCCCTTCTCCACTGAGGCAGGGCAGCTGGGGTGCTGGCTCCGGGTGCCCCAGCCCCGAGGCCACGGCACCCACAAGTGTGGGCTGCTGGTGGCCCGGGAGAGAGGGCTGCGCGGGCAGCAGGACAGGCCGGTTCCTGGGAACGTCTTTATTGCCCATGAGGCAGGGAACAGAGTGGAGGCAGGATGCCCCCCGGGGGGGTCTCAGGAGCGATTCTCAGCCCGCTTAGGGGGCCGAATCCGGTCGTTGATCCAGTCCACATAATTGGTCACTCGGGTGTAGACACCTGGCTTATTGAGGCGCCCGCAGCCATCGCCCCAGCTGATGATGCCGTATAGGTAGGCCACACCGTTCTTCTCGCAGGCCAGGGGCCCGCCTGAGTCCCCCTGCGGCGGAGCAGCCGGTCAGAGCCAGGGCCGGCTGGGGAGACCCGTGGCTCAGCTTCTCTGCACCCCGGAATAGCCCCACCGGCCCTCCTGCCCTGGCCTCCCTGATCCCAGCCCTGAAAATGTCCTTAGAGGAACCGAAAGTCCAGACGGGTCTCAGAGCTCCCCTGTGATGCAGGACCCCCCAGAGCTCTCAAGGGGGACTCCTGACAGAGGGGGGACAGACGGCAAAGGTATTTCCAAGTAAGGGAACTGTCCACTTTCCCCGAATGCCGTAGACAGGACGGTCATCTCATTCCTGGCTGCTGCGGCAGCATCTGGCCAGTCTTTCCTGCTCGAGCCCCACCGTGGCTCCCTCTCACCTCGACGACCAGCAAGGCGCTCTTCAGTCTGGCCCCGCCCCACCCACTGGCACCCCACATGGACGAGGTGGGCCCCTGTGTGCTGGCACATGCTCTCCCCCTCACTTGAAATGCCCTCCTCGCCCCCTGGCAAACTCCCATTCACCTCTCAGGACAAGTGCAAATGTCCCCTCCTCCATGAAGCCACCCTTGACTCCCCCAAGGGTGTTCCCTGTACCACATGGTCTGGTGTCAAGCCCCCCACCTCCCTTGCCAATTCTCAGTTGTGTGGCCTTGGAAGAGTGTTTGGACTTCTTTTGGTCTCAGTTTCCCCGCCTATAAAATGGGAGTAAAGCAGCTCCTCCCTCTCAGGGTTGACGTGCAGCCTAACAAGACCCCACCCGTGGAGCCCTCGATAGGCGTCAATTATTGGGACTGGCTGATCGATTGAGCCCACCTCGGGGAACTCTGGGTGAAAAAGGTTTGGCCTTTGGTGTTGTGCAGACAGCCCTGCCCTTGGCTGGACAGCTGGGCCGTGTCTGGCTTTGTGACGCCAGCCCCACCCTGGGCCTCCGTCTCCCCATCACCGGGAGGAGGGACTTCTCTGCCCGGCTGTGAGGGCCTCCGGAGGGGGTGAGCACCCACCCTGGGGGCTGGCCCCCAGCTAGCAGGTGCGCTCTCTGCCCTGGCTCCCCGGCTGGCCCTGAGGGTCGGGGTCCCTTTGGGCTCTGAGCTCCCCAGGTGGTTCCGAGACTTGGCGGCAGGTCTGGCCTCACCTGGCAAGCATCGGACTTGCAGTCGAAGTAGCCGGCACACAGCATGTTGGGGCTGATGTCGGCCCCGTACACCTCCGGGCTGCTGCACTTGTGGTCGGCGACCAGGGGCACCAGTGCCTCCCGCAGGGAGCTGGAGTAGCCGCTCAGGTCTGGGGACACGGGGCTCTCAGGGTGGGCGGGCTCGCCGTGGCTGGCCTCCGCTCCCCTGGGCACGACGCTGGCGCGCTGCCCCCACCCTCTACTCACTCTCATCCTGGTGGCCCCAGCCCGCAATCTGGCACTTGTGCCCCGCGGGGAAGGCGCTGCCGGGCTCCGGCAGGCAGACGGGCTGGACAAACTGGGAGCGGACGGCACAGCGGTCGCCCTTCTTCTTCAGCCGGATCAGCACTGGGCGGGAGAGAGGCCAGAGGTCAGCCTGGGGCAGGAAGTGTGATGGACGGAGCGTGGCCACTGAGTCACACTGCAGCGCAGCCCTCCTGGGCAGAGGCGCTGTGGCCTGGGAGACCCAGGAGGGGCTGGAGCGCCCGCCCAGGGCTTCCTCCTGCCAGGCCGAGGCCGCTCTGCCACACCGGCACCCTTGCTGCCCTGGCCCCTGCCCCTCCCCCTCCACTCTCCCTTCCCCTGTGTCTCTCCTTCCCTGCCCTCCCTCTCCCCCTCTCCGGCCCCTGTCTGAGGACTCCCAGGCCTGCCTGGGGCCCACCCCTGCCTCTTTCCTGGCTCTGGTCCCAGGTGTGCAGCGAGCACACATCCCCAGACCCCCTGCCCCCAGCGTGCCCCGAGCCTCACCGAGATCGTGGTCACTGGGGTTGAATACCGAGTACAGGGGATACGGGATGTACTTCTCGATGCCAAACGTCTGTGTGACATCCGTCGTGCGGTTGAAGAAGTGTTGACCCAGGACCACTGAGACGCTTTCCCTGGAGGGGCTGTGCAGGGGGCGCTGGTGGCAGCATGACCCTGGCCTTCCCCTCGGGCCCCTGAGGTTGGCTCTCCCCCTACCCATGGCGCCTGTGCATCCAAGAGACAGCCCCAGGAGGGCGACGCCCAGCAGGCCCCGCAGCCCTGGGGAGAGGCTGAGCAGGGACTGGGTGTGGGCAGACGAGACACCAGGGCCGCACCCACAGTCCTGGGCAGCACCACCTCTAACACAACCCCATTAGTAACCAGAGGGGCCTCATGCAGGCCCAGGCGGGGTCAGCCCTGAGACTGGGCCCCACTGGATGGATACCCGACCCTGCCTGCAGCCCGGCCCCAGCTCATGTCTGACTTGTGCAGTGCCCCAGACACAGGCCCTCACTCCCGCTGGGCACAGGGCCTGGGCCCCCTTGGTCAGCCCCTCTGCTCCCGACCTGGGCCTCCGTTTTCCCCATCTGCTGTGTATGGTGGTCATCTCACCCTGGCTCGGCCCTTCTGCGTGGGACTCCACCTCCAGGCCACTGCGGAACCTCGGCCACTCGGCCCTCCCAGGCCTCAGTCCCTCCTGGAAAATGGGCTCCCACACCCAGGGCAGCTGGATGCCCAGCACACAGTGGGGCTCGGTGCCCTGGCCCCCAGGCAGGGCCAGCAATGCGAGTCCAGGGCCAGAGCTGGGGGCTCCTGGGCCTCACTCCGGCGGCCTCTTAGGGTGCGTGGACAGCGAGCTCGTGGCTTGAAACACCCAGGCCTCCGAAGAGCGCGAGGGGCTGAAAGAGCTGTGTGGAGCCGGGGGCCAGGCTGAGGGGGCACTGGCGTCCTCTCCACAGGCTCTGGGCACCCAGGTCTGCTCTTTGCCCCCACTAAAGTAAGGTACCCCTCCTGTGCCCCTGCCCTCATCCATGCCCATCCATGCCCATCCACGCCTGTCTTGTTTCACCCACCTCCACAGCCCTGCTTGCCCAGACCTGGGGTCCGGCCCACAGTGGGTGGGTACCCCTAGGCAGCTTGGCCCCTCCCCAGCCCCTCCCTGGTTGTCCGAAGGGGATGCCTGCTCCCCTCCCCAGGCCTCTTAACCCTCTCATCCTATTCCTCGCTGGGGAGGCCTCAGGGGTCCCATTTCACAGGCCCAGCAGGAAGCATGCCGCAGGGCACACAGCAGGCAGCACAGGGCAGGACTTCCGCCCACTGTCCCGCCCCCCACGTTGTATTCCCTGGGGTAACCCTCAGCCTCCCCCAGATCCTGACGCCTGGAATGCCACTGTCAGGTCCATCCCCTCCCACCGGACCCCCAGGGGGAGCCCCCCAGGCAGAGCCTCAACCCTATCACAGCGGTGGGAGAAGGCAGGGTCTGGCTGGCCCCCTAGCTGTGCAGTGGTGGGTCTCGCACCTCGAGCCCCACCTCGGCTGTCAGCCCCACCCTGCCTTCGCCGTTTGGACGCGCTGAATGGGCGGGGCCTCCAACTCCCTGCCCCCTCTGGTGCCACTTGCGCAGACTGGGAGGAGGGGTCTGCGCGGGGACTGGCTCCGCCCACCGCCCTGGTGCGCATGCGCGCTCCCCGCTCCTCCGAGCACCGCCCCGCCCCGCCCCGTCCCGCCGCGCCCCGCCCCGGGCACGATTGCCCAGAGCTCCCGGTGCAGGGACTGGACGGCCACCTAGGGACGGGGATGGCTTCCCAAGGCAAGGAAGGGAGCAGCAACCCGGGCTGGGGACGGGGTGGGTCTCTGCAGCCTCCATGCCTAGCGCTGGGCTGAGCACTGAGTCCCACGTGGATCAGAGGGGCCACGGAGAACGGAGGGACCGAAGGATGGGGGTTACATGGGTAGGTGGGGACACATGGGGACACGTGGGTGATGGTTAGGAAGAAATGTATGAGGACAGGCAGATGGAGGATGGGGAGGGAGAGTGAGGGATGGGTGAGTGGGCGGGTGGGGATGGATGGGTGAGGAATGGGGGATGGAGGGTAGGTGATGGATGGATGCATGGGGGCGGGTAGATGGGTGGTGGACGGAGTGGAAAGATGTGGAATGGGTGGTGGGGATATGGCCGGTGGGTGGGTGGGTGGGTGGAGGTGATGGGGATGGACGAGGGATGGTTTGAGGGATGGCATGGGGGTTGTGGACACTGGGGCCAGAACTGCTCACCTGTTGGAGAAGCAGTGGGCCGCAGACACCACCCAGCAGGTGTGGACAAGGCTCCCTGCACAGAAGTTGTTCCCGATGTAGATGGCGGCCAGCCAGGGGTGGGAGCCAGGCAGCGAGGACGAGCCACCGATGATGCGTGGCCTTAGGAAGCTCCTCTTCTTGTGCCGCTTGCCGCAGTTCTGGCGTCCAGCTGGGGCGGGCTCACGCAGGGTCAGCAGGACCTCGGGGGGTGGGGCCTGCATTCTGGTGAGGGATCCTGGGAGCACAGGTCATAGGTCATACCCCCGGCCAGAGAGGGTGCTGGCTGGACCCACTGTCCACCATCCTCAGGCCCCCCGGCGGTTCACCCGCCTCCTGCTCCACCCTGGGCAGCTCGTCTGGGGGAGGGTCCAGGGCTTGGGTCCAGCTCAGCCCTCATGGGCACATGATTACTCTCTGAGCCTCAGTTTCCTCATCTGTAGGATGAGGAGAACAATATCCGGTCACAAGGCCTTGTGGGAACCAGAGTGGCCTAGTACACCTGGCAGGTGTTCACGTCCCTTCCAGCAGCCTGGACCCCAGAGCCAACCTAGGATGGTCAGAGAGCCGGCTGGCCTCCTGGAGCTGCCCACCCCCAGGGTCTGTCTCCAGGGGTGCCTGCTTGGCTTCCCACCCATGTTTTTGGGAGCTGTCCCGGCACGGGTTCAGGCTAGGCAGGAGCCACCCAGAAGACCTGGTGACCGGCTTGCCTGCTCTGACCCCTGGTGCCAGCCTTCTGCAGGGCCTTGGACCAGCTCTACTCCAGTGAGCCTCAGTTTCCCCATTTCTAAGATGGAGTAGTGGTCATCCAGAGAGAGAAGGCCAGGCATGGGGGTGGGGTGGGGAGGACCACAGGACAAACTGCTGTGACCTCGGTGGGAGGGGAGCAAGCTGCGCGCACCGCAGGCGGCCAGGCGGCAGTACTCCCAGGAGAGCGCGCTGTCCTTCACCACGTAGCACCAGGGCCTCTCGTCCTTGTCCGGGTTCCTGGAGAGCACGGAGAGGCGGGTGGGGTGGGGAGCCACACGGCCCCTCAGAGAGGGCAAGCGGGAGAGAGAAATGGGGACACCTAGCAGGGTGGGGCTTGGGACTTCCCCAACAGCATTTTGCTCATTCTACAAATGGACACAGTGGCCTTAGGCCCCGTGGGCCTGATCCCGGCCGCAGGCTCCCGTTTGCTGGGGCCGCCACCCAGGCCAAGGGGTCAGGCGCCCCCAGGGGCAGGCCAGGCCTGGAAGGTTCCCCCACAACAGACCCCACCCGCCCGCCCTGGATGCGGTGGCCTGGGGTGGGCCAGGCCAGTGCTGACCGGCAGTAGGCATGGGGGCCCAGGCCGAGCAGGGCCGCGGCGCCCACCGAGTCCACATGCAGCTCCTGGTAGAGCAGGTCGGAGTTCCAGGCCAGGCAGCTGAGGCCCGAGGCCGCCGTGCTGGACACGCCTCGGTACTCGGTGCCATCCCCCTTAAAGCAGCGCTGGGTGGGCACTGTGGGCAGCATGGTGTGCAGTGAGCCTGGCCCCGGGCTGCATCCACGCTGACCCCCAGCCCCCAGGGGGCCAAACAACTCACCGATGTTGCAGAGCCGCCCAGCGTGGTCCGGGGGGCAGGCGCACACGGAGGTCCCAGTGGCCACAATCAGGTGGCAGGTGCCACCGTTCAGGCACGGGTTGCTCAGGCAAGCTAGGGGGAGGACTCAGAAGCTAGGCCTCACGCCTTGAGGTGCCGGCCGCATGGGGGTGGGGTCAGGGCCCGGTCGGAGCCCTGGAGCTCGGTGCTGGGTAACCCTGGGTAAGTTCCTTCCCCTTGGGTGGGATGGGGACACGGGTCGGGAAGGCTCTGGGACGCCTTCCCTGGCCATAGGTACCTGTGTGGCGGGTGCCCTCGCACTGGACGTGGCCCCCCGCGCATTGGCACCACTCCACCCTGCCCTGGTGCACGCGGGCCCAGCGGTCACCCTCCTCCAGGTGCTCGTAGCGTGTCTCATCGAAGCATTTCTCTGCGGGTCACACAGTGAGTGCCCTGCTCCCTGCGCGCCACCACCCTCCCCTGGGGGGACCCTCCCGCCCTTGGCAGGCACCCTCCCACCCCATCCTCCCAGGACCTGGCCTGGACCCGCGGCCCCATGGACCCGCTCACCGGTGCCACAGTCCTTGCCCGTGAAGGCCACGGGGCAGGCGCAGTGGTAGGACTCGGGGGCCTGCGTGTTGGAGCACAAGCCCCCGTTGAGGCAGGGCCCGGAGGCACAGGGATCTGGGCCAGCTGGGACACACAGGAGGGGTGGGGGTGTCTGAGGGCCCAGCCAGGCCGCATCTCCCCTACCTGTGACCCTCCCTGCTTGCCAAGGGACCCCAGTGCCTCCATCAGGCCTGCCGCCTTAAAGTGGCCCCCTGGGTTCCTTGAAATGCAGGTGCCCTGGGAGGCACAGGCCTCCCCGCCCTCCCCAGACCCCCTGCCCAGCGCTTAGACCCTGGCGGGGGGCCTCTGGCTCTGCACTCGGCAGCCTGGAAGCCCACCCCCACCCACCCCTGTCAGGCAGCAGAGTCCCCTCCCTTGTGCCCCCAGACCCTACTAAGCAGGCTGCTGGCACAGCACCCTGCAGATGCCACAGGTCCTCACCCCTGTCTGGGGCTCTGCCTGTGTGGCTGCAGGGCCTGGCCTGACCACCAGGGGGCGCCTTGGCCCCAGCAATGACCAAGGCAGCGGCTCCTGGCAAGGGCGGGGTCCTGTGTGGGAGAGGCTCCCCGCTCTACACTCCTGTGATCCCCTGGCCTGGTTGCTTCTCTGCCTCTGCCTGGCCCACCAGGCCTGCAGTGGGATCAATCCTGGAGCCCCCTCCTGCACTCGACGCAGCTCTGTCCCCTTCATCCCCACCCCCATCAGCACACTGACCCTGGCGCCTCCCTAGCTTACCCTCCAGCCCCAGTCCCAGCCCCCTCTAGCAAGATTTGGCGTCCCAGACCCCCAGGCACCCACCTGGGCCCTCCTGGGGCGCAGGGACCTGCATACAGTAGCCCCAGGCCCTGTCTCGGTCATAGTTGTGAGTCGTGGCACACCTGGGGGCAATGTACACAGTGACTTGGGAGTCCCAGACCAGACTTGCCCATCCCAGCCCTGACCCACGCAGGGTGCCCCTCTGATCACTCTGGGAGCTCTCTCCCATTCACTCGCTCACTCATTCATTCGTGACATTTGCTGTGTGCCAGGCTCATTGTGGAGTAGGGAGGGCAGAGGATGGGAAGGTCTCCGGGGGTAGTGGGAGGCTGGGGGGACTGGGAGGAGGGGAGGCTGGTGGTCTGTGCTTGCAGGCCTTGCTGCAGCCCGGGACCCACCATTTCCTGTGGGCGCTTCCCTCCGAAGTGCAGGAGTGGAGCATGCGGCCGCCATAGCGGAAGGGGAAGCTGCAGGGCTGCCCGTCCTCGGTGAGCACTGCAGGGGAGGGGCAGGGGTCAAGGGGCTCCCTTGCTGGACACCTCCTGACACCCCATCGCACACCCCGCTCCCCAGCAGCCGCCTGTGTTCCTCCCGACCCACCCACCCAGGTGCAGCCGGCCACCTCCTCCAGAAAGCCCTCCTGACCCACCTGGGCCCCCAGGGCTGCTGCTGGAGGGGGCCGCCCTGGGTGGAGGGGCGAGTCCCTCACCACCGGGTCCCTCTGCCTCTGAAGCTCTCGTGGCTGGGGTCGCAGGTGTCACGGAGGTCACGGGGATCACGGGGGTCCCAGGAGTCACTGTGGCTTTAGGTTTTGGGGGTTCCGTATAGTTCTAGGAGGAGCCAAGAGGGGTGTGACCAGCATCGTTGTGGGACAGGCCCCCCTCCCAGTCAGCACCCACCAGGTGAGCTGGTTGCAAGCCTGGGCCTCAGTTTCCGCATTGGGGCCATCAAGTCTTGGAGCAGGGACCAGGGGGACACGAAACCTCTGAGGCCTCAGCTGGGCCTGTGCCCTCCCCCTCCTGCCGAGCCCAAGGGGTTAGACAGACTGGCTCGGGGTCTGCCCAGGCCAGGCCCCCCCCCGCCCTCCAGGCCCGCGTCCTGGGGGTCTGCGGTAGGGCATGGAGAGGAGCAGCTTGAGGCCCTTAGATCCCCCACCTCCCACCAGACACTCGGACCCAACAGGGCCCAGAGAGGGTGGGGGCCCAGCAAGTTGGAGCCCAGGCCCCAGGCCCCGGTCCACGGGCCAGCCTAGCAAGCCCACCTCAGCCGCGAAGGCCAGCTTTCACCACATCGGGCCTCACGCCCGCTCCACAGCCCTGCCTGGCCTCGGCCTCAGGAGCCAGAGTGGGCACAGGAGCCCATGGCACTGTGTGATGGGGTCAGCGCTCACCCTGCCAGCCCGGGGCCGGGCCCCATGAGGCGCCAGCGGCAGCAGCAGCAGCAGCAGGAGCAGGGAGAGCCCGGGCAGAGGGCAGGGGCTGGGGACCCAGGCCCGGCGCCCCATGGCTCCTCCTGAGCTGGCGTGAGGGGCAGCAGGAGGCGGGAGCAGAGCAGCCAGGGCAGGTGGGGTCAAGGCCGCCTGGAAATGATTAACCCTGGCTGCCTCCCGTGCTGGGCCCACAAGTCCACCATATCTGCTGCCCAGCTCACCCAACCCAGGCCAGAGGGCCCAGCTGTTCCCTCTGGCCTCAGCCATGCTGGCCCTGGGCCTGCCAGCATCCGTGAGTCTTAGCTTAGAAGCTTCCTCCAAGAAGTCTTCCAGGATGACTCAGCAAGCCCTGCTCGACTCCCGGCCCCAGCTTCCAGTCCCCTCCTGGCCGAGGGGCTGGCTGCTGCCTATTTGTGAATTATTCATAACCAGAGCGGCTTCCAGTGCTGAGACTTTTCGAGGGCCCAGGCCTGGAGGGTGCAGTGCTGGCCTCATGGCAACAGGCCAGGCACAGAGAGGAGGGCGTGCACACCACCGGTGTGTTACAATGATCCCAGGACGCAGACCTCCACTGCTCCCAGCACTTCAGCCTGGCCCCTCCCGGGATAAGCCTGGAGTGGGGACCCTCGTGGGAGTAGAGCCGGGGGGAGGTGGGTAGTGCCAGAGTCAGCCTGCCCTAACTCCAGGCAGTGCCCAGGAGTGTTCCCTCCCCCACCTATCCTGGACCCGCTTAGGCACTGCCTCCAGGAAGCCTTCCCGCCCCTGGACTCCCTCAGCCTTGGGCTTCCCCCATCACAGTCTAGATGACCTCACTGTCCCCATCTCCGTCCAGGTCTGCCCCCCACCCCATCCCAAGCCCTGGCTGTCTCTGGGTATCTCTGGTCCCCCGCAGAGCCCTAGCCAGACACCCAGGGGCCATCATGGGCCACAGAGACCTGGCTTGGGGTCCTGCTTAGATCTGTGTGCAGCTTGCTGTTCCTATTTGTGGCCCGGGATGGGGACACTATCCCTGGCTGCAGCCGCAGTAGTCCCTTCAGCCAGCCCCGGAATGCATGACTGGGGGCGCAGCACAGCTACCGCAGAACCTCTTCTGCAATTTCCAAGCCACCGCAGGGACGGGGCCCCGCCGCTTCCCCATGAGTCAGCTCGGCGCCCGCACGGGGCTGAGGGAAGGCTGGTGGCTGACTCTTCACTTTGGCCTGGGGATTGGCCTGGCACTGCAGCTGTCTCACTGTGCGCCCCAAACTGCATGCTGTCTGGTCCCCCGTTTTCCCTTCTGTGCAGAGGAAGGGAGAGTGGAAACTGAGTGGATACTCAGCTTGGCACACAGTGCGTGCTGGGGGCACAGTGGGTGCTGGGGGCACAGTGGGAGCTGGGGGCACAGTGGTGCTGAGCACAGTGTGTGCTGGGGAAATGGTGGTGCTGGGCATGGTGGGTGCTGGGGGCATAGTGGTGCTAAGCACTGTGGGAGTGGGGGGCACAGTGGTGCTGGTCAGTGGTACTGGGATCACAGTGGGTACTGGGGGCACAGTGGTGCTGGGTGCACAGTGGATGCTGGGGGCATGGTGGGTGCTAGGGGCATGGTGGTGCTGGGGACACAGTGGGTACTGGGGGCACAGTGGGATCTGAGGACACAGAGGTGCTGGGCACACAATGGTGTTGGGCAGAGTGGGTGCTGGGGGCACAGTGGGTGCTGGGCCCCTCTCTTCCATTCTGACGCCTCCCCCAGACCCCTGCTCAGAGCACCATTCATGGGGGTTTACTCCCTGGAAGCATCCAGAACCCCAGCAGCCTTGCTGTGCACCCTCAGGCCTAGGGCCCTCTCTGACAAACCTGCCATGACAAGACACCCTTCCCCCGCCAACTCTGAGGAGGGAGAGGTGTGGGGGGGCCCTCAGTGCTCCGCTGCTCAAGGTTGGGATTCCACCGAGGCAACCTGGCCAATGGCACCATCTCTATCTGCTTCAGCCCACCACCACATGGTGGCCCTGTCCACTGGCCCAGCCTGCCACCCAGTCCCCTCCTGACTCAGCTCAAGCCATTCTGTAATCAAACTTACTCCAGCCTCAGGGCCTTTGCATGGCCTGACACTCTTTCCCAGGCCTTCTCAGCAGCCAGGTTTCCACTCAGATGATCCTTTCACAGACAGGCCCTGCCAAACCCCCCCTCTAAATGAGGCCAAGGCAGGGGGACAGAGCACAGCAGCTTGAAAGGTGCCCACTTTGCCCATGGGATTCGTAGAGCACAGACCCAGAGCCTGGGCAGGAGACCTGGCTCAGAGCTGCAGACCACAGTGACCTGCTGAGTTCCCCAGGTCCCCCAGGCCGAGCCCTGCCCCCAGCGGCGGCCACTTGGAGAGGAGACCGTGGGTTGACCTTTGGGGGCTGCATGAAGCAGCTTGCTTCCTCGCTCCCTGCGGGGCTCGGCCTTGGTCCTGCCCACCTGTGACCTCACCACACAGACCCCTCCTCTCCCCAGCCTCGCCCCTGATGCGATTACAGAGCCCACGGGAACAGGGCTCCCTGAGGGCAGAGCCTGGGACTCCAGCACCCAGCAGGAGGCTGACACTCGCGGGGTCCTCAAGGTCACTTTATTGGGAGAATGCTGGATGCTGAGGGGCATCTGGGGTGCAGGGTCTGAGGAGCCCTATGAGCCAGCCGTGGCAAAGCCAGGTCCCTCGGCCCTGTCCTGGTTTGGCTCCAAGGCCCTCAAGATGGGCTCGGGCTGCCCCTCGAGATCACGGGCCTCCACATGTGTATCCGGGCGGCACAGTTCAGACGCAGGCTCAGGAGGGACGGCCGGCGGGGGCAGGGCTGCGGGCAGCCTCAGACAAAGGTCGCGTGGTGCGGGCTGGCTTTGGGCTTGGCCGGCCGGTCTGGGATGGAGCTCAGGCCAGGGAGGTCTGATGTTGGGGGCCCACTGGCCCGTGACCTCCGGGGGCCTGTCCGCACTCCTGAGACGCTGCCGCCCAGCCCGGGTGCCAAGCCAGCGACGCGGTCCACATCGATGATTGTGCTGACCGGGAGGCCTCGGCTGCCTCGGGCCCCGCCTCCTGTCACAGGGAGAAGAAAGAGGCTGTCACCTGTCTGTCCTGCTCTGGGCTCTGGAGCCCTGCAGGCACCCAGGACAGGAGACCCCTCCCCACCCTCCTTGCAGACATTGGCCTGGGGAGGGTTTCCCGAAACACCAAATGCATCCCAGAGACGGGTGACCAACCTTGGGCCCCCTGGCCTGGGGCAGGAGTGCCAGGAAGGTCTGCAGAGTGCCAACCTCATGGGCCCACCAGCCCCTCGCAGGCCCACGGCACACCCAGCAGCGTGGAGGGGCCCTGGCAGACAAGCCACGCATTATGGGGAGAGTCCCTCAGCCAAGAGAGCCAGGACCCTGAATCGACAGGCTGGTGCAGGCAGGTGGTGGGGAGAGCAGAGGCAGGGGCCGGTGCTGGGGGATGAGGTCTGGGTGTGCAGGGCCCAAGTTCTGGGTGGTGGGAGCCGGGGGAGGCCTTTACCTGCCACAGGGACACCCAGGGCCCCCTGCACCCTGCATTCCTCAAGTCTGTGCCAGGCCAGCCGGGGCGTCTCACTGGCTCGGGGCTGTCCCCCTGAGCCAGGGCCCCCTCCTTAGGAAGAGCTCAAGAGCTGTTCAGCACCTGAGTCCCCTGCAGCTCCCCATTGGCCTCAGCCCCCAGCCTTGCCCGTGCCACCTTCTCCTCGTTCTTCCTGGTGGCGTTAGATGCCCCTCCCCAAGCCCTGACGATGCTGAGCTGTCCCCTCACCAGGGCTGTAAGTGGGGAAGGTGGGTGTGACTGGTCTGTGGGTTTGCGTTGCAGGAACGAGGACTCAGTGCTTGTCAGGGGGGGCTGGGGTGGCAGAAGAAATGGGCAAAGGGAGAGGAGAGGGGGCAGGGTCCAGGGCCCCACCAGGGCTCCCGGAGGATGCTCATGGGATTGAGTCAGCCTCCCGGAGCAGGGTGCAGCCAGCAAAGAGCATGAGGGGAAACTCTTGCCCCCACCCCACCCTGCCCCTCAGACACCCCGTGTCACTCCCACACCCGCTGCAGCTCAGGAACAGAGGGCCACAGTGAGGCCCCCAGGGTCATCTCACCCTGCCCACTCAACCCTCCCCCCGGGCTAGTATGGACCCCCTAATCCCTCCTGGAGGGCTGTCTGCAGGGCTTGTCCACAGGCCAAGGGGCCTTTGGGGAGGTGGGAAGTGAGGCGAGGCCCTCGGCCATACCAGGGAGTCCTAGCAGGGAGGCACCCCTGCCTGGACTGGGGGGAAGGACCAAGCACTGGGTGGGGTTGTTCCAGACGGGCTGGACCCTCAGGGCAAAGCCCCCAACCAGGAACTCCAGGCTTCCACCCACAGACCTCAGTGCGGGGCTTCTCCAAGGGCTGCAGTCCACAGGCCAGGGCAGGGCAGGGGCCCGAGCCCAGCTTCTGGCTCCCCACCAGCGCCCTCCCAACCTGGCTGCCTGCTTATCCACCTGCCTGTGGCCTCAGGCCCAACTTTTCCCCCTTACAAAGTCCGCCCTTTCCAGCCCCTGCTCCGGTTCTGGGGGCCACGCTATGCTTTCCCACCCTATCCCCAACACCTCAGGCCGTGTGCCTCTTCCTCCGTATCAGCCCCACCGTCCGCCCTCTTCCAGGCTGCTCAGTGGTCAGCAGGCCTCTGGCTCCAAGCCCCCACCTCACCCCTAGGAGTTCCAAGGCTGCCTGAAACTGCCTTGGAAACTTCTAGACCCTGGGGTGGGCAGCCCTACCTCCCTGCCAACGCTCTCCCCCAGGGAGGCCCGCCCGCCCCAGGGCTGTCACATCTGGCTGGTACCTGGAGGGGCCCCTGGAGGACAGAGACATGTCTTCCTGGGTGCGGTCCCCAGGGACCAAAGAGGGTAGCACAGTGGGTGCTTGGCCAGTGTTCAGCCTCATCTTCATCCCCTGAGCCCCCAGGCTCACCCCCAGATGGGGGCCAGGCAGCACGGGGCCCAGGCGGGACTTTAGGGCCGGGGCTGGCTGGGGCTGGGCAGGAGCCCTGGCCTATCTTGCAGGGGTGGCCTCAGTGAGCCTGGTGCCAGGGACCCTCAGGTGCCTATGGCGGGCCCATGTCAGACAGGCTGGAGGAGGAGTCCAGCCCCCAGGGACACAGGGTCCTGCTGCCCTGACTCCCCTCCTTGGGCCTCAGTTTCCCCGGCCTTGCTGGTAGAGGTGAAGACTCATCTGCCCCCATGGGTACGAGGCCTATAAGCGAGAGTGGGGACGGCCATGGGGGTCAGCAGCCTGTGCTACCCTAGCTGCTCCATGGCCTCCAGGGTCCCCTGACCCCATGGCACCCATGCCTCTGGAAGTGCCTCTACACAGCCTCCTGGGAAAGTCCTGGCCTGCAGGCAGAGTGCGGCGTCCTCTCTAATCACAGGTGGAGGCGGCGGACGAGGAGCCCTTCACCCCAGCCTGCATAACGCATCAGCGTCAGGGCACCCGGCTGCACGTGTCATCCCCCGCCTCACACGGGGCTGCTCGGGCCAGGCTGTGTGTATCCTACTGAGGTAGGTCGGGCAATGGGAGAGGGTCTCAGGAAAAGCTAGTTCCCCTGAGGTCCAGGGGTCCACATGGAGCAGCCGTGACTGGAAGCTTCTCCAAGACAGACCTTTAGTCATTCAACAAATGTTCCACTATGGCTGCTGGGATCCACCCTATCCTTTGCCTGTCACTGGGTCCCCATGGCCCCAAGTGCCAGGCTGCAGGGCCGGGAGGTGATAGCGTGGGGCGGGTCTTCACCTTGGATTTGGGATCGTTGAGAGAGGCAGGCGTTTGCCCCCTCAATTGTTTCTCCCCACTTGGGGCATGTGTCTAGAGGGTAAAGGACCTGTAACCCCATAGGGGTTCAGGGGCTCAGCCCTCGCCCGTCCAGCCCCGTTTGCACCCCAGGAAGATGGAGGCCTGAAGATATGGGCCTCGGCCACAGGCCCCTCTGACCCCCAGGCAGCTTGGTGGGCTCAGAATTGGGAGGAACGCCTGTTTCTGGGGATGGGGCATTTTGTCCACGGGCCAAGGACAAGCACATCACAGGCAGGGTGGCCGAGGTCCAGGCCCTTCCTGCCTGATTGGCCCAGACTTGCTCTCCTAAGTGAGTGGCAGCTCGGGCCCGTGACTCAGTGACAGGGGTCCAGCCCCAGGCAGCAGGCGGCATCACGGCCTCCATGCCAGGGCCTGCCGGAGCGGCCGCCCACGCGGCTTCCCGAGCCTCCTCCAGCCCTTGCCTAGCAGGGACGGCGACAAAGAGGGCCCCACAGGGCTCCAGGGGCTGTCACTTCCAAGGGGAGGCTGACTCTGCTCTGCAAAAGGTTCGCTCCCTGCGCAGCCTCATCTGGATCCTCTGCCTCAGGTCCCTCAAACACCCACAGACTTGTCTCCCGCCCCTCAGGCTGCCCTCTGACCCCTCCTCTCCCAGGGGCACACAGACCCCATCCCTTCACTGACCAAGGTCTACAGTTCCGACCCTGCAGTCAGGCCCTCCCTGGGGGGACTGTGCTGGAGCCCCCACCGTAGACCGGAACTGGAGCGCCTGTCCCGAGAGCCTGGAGACATTCCCTTCACCCACGGTCAGCCCCTCACCCGCTGTCTGTTGTTCGTCCCTCAGGCGACCCTTTCATTTGTCCACCAGCGTTCTCTGCGCTGGCTGCCAAGTCTCCTGTGGTCCTTTAAGCCTCCACATTGGGAGAAGGTGGCGGCAAGTCAGGACCCTCCTCTCAAGGTCAGCAGGGGACAGGGTTGCACCCTCAGCCACCTCCAGGTTCTCTCTCAGGACCTGACCCTAGCTGCCTGTCCCAGGGCCCTCCCTGCCCCCAGAGGGACCCTCCCCATCCTCTGGACATTTTGCTGCAATTTCTGCCCCCCATGCTCTGAATCGTCTCATCAACAACTCTGCAGTACGCAGCTGCAGGGCACCGGTCTACAGCCCCAGCAGCCGTGGCAAGGGAGGGAGCATCTGTGGGGAGAACAGGGATGGGGAGTGGTGGGGCCACACCTGGTGCAGGCATGCAGGCCCCAGGGAGAGGATGCAGGCAGGAGCTCCTGCGGTACCGGTCCCAGAGGGAGCAGCGGCCAAGGCCCAGGACCCCGTGCTGTGCTGGAGGGGAAAGTGGGGGTGGGGGTAGGTCATGCTATGTGCCACTGGTGGCCCGTGGCTTCCACTCTAAGAGACCCAGAGATCAGATGGAACAGACCCACTGCAGGGCACAGTGAGGAGGACACACAGAGAAGATGGGGCGAGGAGGGTGGATGCACAGCGGGAGACCAGGGCTATTGGCCAGAGCAGCCAGGAGGACGGAGTTGTCACAACCATCCCAGGGGTCTGGGGAGATGCTGGGCTAGCTTGGTCAGCCCTGGAAGTCCATGGAGGCCGGCAGAGTGGGCCAGGCCAGTGCAGGAGGCCCCAGGCATCTACAGGAGAAGGTCCACTCAGGTCCTTCTGGCCAGGGCAAGG